CCACACGTGTGCACACACAAACCTCCACACGTGTGCACACACAAGCCTCCACACGTGTGCATGCACAAACACAAACCTCCACACGTGTGCACACATAAACCTCCACACTTGTGCACGCACAAACACAAACCTTCACACGTGTGCACACACAAACCTCCGCACGTGTGCATGCACACACACGAGTCGGCAGCACAGGGGAGGCAGAGACGGGCAGGAGGCATCTGCCCCCCCCCTGGCCTCAGGGACGTGCCCACAGAAGCTGGCCAGGTGCTGTCCTGAATCTTGGCCGGGGCTTCTCCGAGTCTGATCATGAACTTGACCGTTCCACTGAATAATTGCCCAATAAAACGGTGTAGATCCTGACAGCCGTTCTCCCCTTTGCAGTGGCCCATTCACGTGGGTTGGCCGTGTGGTGGCTCAGCCGCTGCTCAGAGGGAGCGTCTCATTCTCTTGGGTGCGCAGCGTCCACGGTCTAACTCAGGGTTTCTGTGCACGTGTGGGCAGTGTGAGTCTTAGCCTGGGGGCTGCATCCCCGGCGGCAGGAGCTCGCCGTCCCCAGCTCTGGCACCTGATGGACTCCACACCGAGTGCCAGGCCTCTGCGCGCATGGCTCTTAGCCCGGTGTCCTCAGTGAGGGAGCTTAGTGCTGTCACGTTCCCCCCCCCCCCCCCCCGCCCCCAATAAGGCAAAACTTTCTCTTGGGAGGAGCGTGCAGGTCCGTGTTCTCAGCCCCCCGCCCCCGCTTCCTGTCTGCAGCGGCGCTCAGCAGGGACTGTGATCACAGCAGACCTGCTCCAGCTCTCAGCTTCTGTGCTGGGCTGCAAGTGGAGACATTTCGCCAGTGCCGTGGCACAGAAATCGTCCACAGACCTGCTCTGGGGCTTTTTCGCGGTGCCCGAGGGTAGGCAGGAGTTTGGCCAGGACGCGAGGGCGGCCTCCTCTGCTGCCCCCTGGTGGTCGATGCCGCTACTGCCGTCAGTGGCTCCATCCCTAAAGGTCAGCAGTGTCCCGCTTGCTGAGGGATTCTGCGGGTTGCTCACCAAATGAAGCCGGTTCTTTGTTAGCTTTGCATCTCAGATAAACAGCAAAAGTGGTGCAAGCGTAGGATATCCCGAACATTGCAGGGGTCATATTTAGCTTGAAAAATAATTTGTTGTGTCTTGAAAATTCAAATCTACCTGAGCTTTGTAGCAGGGGTCAGTCGGACCCGCTGAGGCTTGAGGGGAGCTGTTGCTCTTCTCAGACGCTCCAGGGCGGTCAGTGGAGGCAGGCACGGGCACACGGAAGGAACGAGGTTGCGACGGACATTTGGGACAGTTGATGAACGATAAGCATGTTGTCAGGGAGCAGAACTGAACCTCTGAAAATTAAGGTTTAAGCTTTACGCACTTTTATTCCAATAAATGTTTTCGTTTGCATCTTTCTAACAATTGCTGCTATAGCTTTCCAGTGCTTAGAGATATGTAGGGGCAGAGGGGGCCTCTGGCCCAGCGGACGGGCCTGCCCTCTCCTAACTTAGGGTACAGAACACTGGAGATGGGTGAGGAGCTCCCCAGTCACTGCTAGTTTTGCCACTAACCTTTCGTACATGTAGTGGAATGGCGTGCAGGCTAGAAGTGCGTGCAGGCCGGGCTGTGTCTGTCCTGTGCCCGCCAGTGCCCTGGCGGAGGGGAGAGACATGCTCGGCACAGCACACAGCGCCCAGACTTGCAGTCAGAGGCAGGTAGAGGCGATGGGGCCTTCGTGTGTGCACAAGCTCGTGTGTGTGCACGTGCGTGGAGTGCATGTGTGCACACGTGTGCCCACAACGTGTGTGGGAGACATGTGCACACATGTGGTGCATGGGTGCACACATGTGCCCGCAGCATGTATGTACACGTGTCCGTGCACACAGTACATATATGTGTGTAGTATGTTGCACGTGTGTGGTGCACGTGCACACAGGTGTGTCGGTGCCTGCGGTGCACAGCATGTGCGTGCAGTGTGTGTGTGTGTGTGTGTGTGTGTGTGTGTGTGGCCAGAGTGCTGACTCTCCAATACCTAGAGCGGAAGGCTTCGGGCAAATTGTTGGGGTGGCGACGGTGGAGGGGAGTGGAGAAAACTTGTTCTGCAGCTGTGTTTGTACACCAAACATACTATTTTTTACTTGGATTATATGTTTGCTCAAGGTTGGCTCAGAGGGTGGCTGATGGGGGGGCAGTCAGCCGATACCTTGTGGCACCCTGCTCATTCACCCATCGTGCAGATGGTGAGTGTCTCCCACGTGGGGCGTCGTTGCAGGCACCCCGAGAGCACAGCAACGCTGTGGTGGGGGCGAGGCCTGGGCCTGAGGGTCTAAAGGGCGAGAGGGAGGAGCGGAGCCAGAAGCGGGTGCAGGGCTTGTGTCCTGCTGTCTTGGGTGCCCGGGGACCCCTTGTCTTTGTCAGCAGGGATCGTCTTCGCCACTGAAAGAGCATCTTGGCACATGGAGAAGGTTTGGGTAAACAGGGTGTGGGGAAATGAGCGAGGAGACTGTCCTGCTCATCTTGAGCTAGAGAGCGAGGACGAGCCTTGATGAGTCAGTGGGGACGAGAAGGGAGGACTTGAGAGGTTGAATCAGTAGGGTCGGGGGTCCCCTCCTTGGTGTGCAACAGGGAGCTGAGGTCCTGTGCTCTTTCCTGCCCTGCCGACCCGCACCCCGGCTCTGGAGCTCCGTTTCTATCAGCACATTGCCACGTGGGCTCCATTCTGGTCCCCCGAATGCTCCGTCGCCGCTCCGAGGCTAAGCAGGACTATTTCATCCGCCCCCATAGAAGGAGCACAGGTCGGGCTGAGGGACGACACTGACCCCAGGGCCAAGAGGCCTGATTGTAAAAGCTGGTTTTCGGTTTATTGTAAGAATACAACCGAGAGAGGATTTGGGGAGTCAGAGACCAGGACGTTTGCTGAAAACACATAGGAAACAGGAAGTAGGAAGAGACTCTCATGTACGTTAGGCCCAGGGCGGGAAGGGGTCATTGCTGCCCTCTCTTGAGCTCTAAGGAAGCCTCTGCTAAGGGAGACAAGGGCAGGCCCCCTACGGCTCTGCCAAGCTGCTGGCCACTGGCCGCCAGGGCATCATGCCCCAAGGCAAAGCCTGCCGTCTACCTGCCTCCCTCCAAGAATGAGGGTGGAATTCCTGCACCCTGTCCATGAAAACAAGGCTTATCTCAGCAGGGGACCACAGGGGACAGGCAGCGGGGCCAGCTTGCTCAGAGGTCAGGCAGAGGGAGGTGAGTGGACGCCGGACTGGGCAGGCACAGATGACCCACTGACGTGCTGGGCCGGCCGGGAACAGCCAGCCACTGTCGGTCTCCCACACCAGCTGACAGGGGGAAGTTGGTTTGGGGTAACTGCCTGGTCAGCATGGAAGCGACCCGGCACCCCAGCCCTCCCGTGGCCACGCTTCCCTGGCTTAGGGACTGCAGAGTCGCGGCTATTGAGGTGCATGAGTTTGCATTTGACGAGCCGAGTGCACGTGGGCAGAGCTGGTGGCCGCTCCTGACCCCGCCCCGTTGCAGGATCTGGGAGTCTCCTCTCCTCCTAGCGGCCAAAGAGAATGATGTCCAGACGCTCAGCAAGCTGCTCAAGTACGAGACCTGCGAGGTGTATCAAAGAGGTGAGGGCAGCACCCGAGGCCCGCGGAGGCCCCAGAACTCCGGTGCCCACCCCCCGACCCCCGTGACTCTGTGGCCCTGCAGGGGCGCTGGGGGAGACGGCCCTGCACGTCGCGGCGCTCTACGACAACCTGGAGGCCGCGCAGGTGCTGATGGACGCAGCCCCGCAGCTGGTCTTTGAGCCCATGACCTCTGAGCTGTACGAGGGTGAGGGCCCAGGGGCCCGGCCGGGGTGGACGGAAGGGGGTGACTGGAAGGGCAGACCAGCTGGGGACACCAAAGAGGGAATCTGGGTCCTCTGCTCATTCACCCCTCTCCATCTCCCTTCTTGCTTCTCTGCCGGTCACTAGAACACCTGACCCCAAACCGCCTGAGAGGAGAAGGGGGTCATGTTGGCTCCCCTGGGGCCCTGACCAGGCCCAGGGCTCCCCACCCTTACTGCCTGGCCGAGTGGATGGGGGTAGACACGGGACGGCCCCCTGCAGGATGCTGGGGACAGGCCCCTGACCAGGGTCTCTCGGGCCAGGCCAGACTGCCCTGCACATAGCCGTGGTGAACCAGAACGTGAACTTGGTGAGAGCCCTGCTGGCGCGCGGGGCCAGCGTCTCCGCCAGAGCCACGGGCTCGGCCTTCCGCCGCAGCCCGCGCAACCTCATC